TCACAAATTTCATCAAATCTTGAAAACAAATGATCAAAACACGAAATCTTGTGAATAACAAAGATTTATGATTCAAAAACGCACACAACGATCATCATTTTAACATACAAACATCAAAAAATGAAAGATTTGAGTAGAGATTTATGAAAAACGTGATGAACACTTAAGAACATTCATATGAACATTATGAACATATGTGAATTTCCAAAAAAAAAATCAACTTTTGATGATATCTTCAATACAATTTCACTGCAAAAATGCTCTGATACCAATTGATAGTCCCACTTCTTTGATCAATCTTCAAGAATCATCTTCAAGAAAAAGATAAATGGCATTCTTCAAATATGAACTTTGAGAGAAAAGGTCAAATAGTCAATGATAGGTTTATTTCTCTAAAACTCTCTATTACACGTAATATGACAATTAGGCTCTCTTCTACTAAAACTCCCTTACAAGACCTATTTATAGGTCAACACAAAGTACACAAGAGTCAAAGTCAAATTCAGAAAGACAAAGTCAAACTCTCTAGAAATACACATATAGTCTTTCAAGATGAATACAGTTAACATCTAATATTCAATCCTAACAAATTATCGCACAAATTACATAATCCAAAAATTCCAAAATACCAATTCTTGTAATGATCAACATTTTATCTACCAAAACTAGATTCATCATAACTGATCTTCTCATAGATATGCATATAAGAAAATATCAGATTTTCCCCTTTCCCTTACCATCGTGTAACCCAGTAGTTCCTGCAATACATATTTAAAAATACAAAATGAGGGTTAAAACGGAACGTCTAGTGAGATCTCCTTTTCCATACAATTGCAAGGTGAAGATCACCAAAATCTTTATTTAAAATCAACTTTTCATATAAACAGATACATAACCATGTAATTCACATTTACCTATGCCTCTCTAATTTCCAAAGCCAATCACTTGACTTTATAATAACATATTAAACAAAACAGGCTAGAACCTTTCAGGTTCCACAAAACTCATCTCTAAACATTTTCATCAAAAACACGGTTATTCAAAGCCTCTGGCCAAAAACCAGTTATCTTCTCCTCAATAACATCCTTATTTCTATTTCCAATAAGAACCATGTTCCTAAATCTTTAAATCACAAAGAAATAAGGACTCAGAGCCATCACAATCTTAAAGATTATAATAGTAAGAGTTATATTAATGAACACATACACAAATGCCACCCTTATATCCAAAGGTACACCTCTCCTTGATATGCCACCCTTATCCCAAAGTACACCTCTCCTTGATATGCCACCCTTATCCCAAAGTAGACCCCTCCTTGATATGCCACCCTTATTTTCTCTTCAAAATTACAGATTATTCCCTATCAGGATAGACCGAAGTCACAAGCGTCCTCATGGAACATCATCTATAGTTTTAACCAGAAACATTTTCAAAACAATCACTAAACATTTTTTTTAATCATTTTAGAAAGAACAATATGCCATTAACATAAACTCATTTTGAATAAAATATTCATTAATTTATCTAGTCATCAAAAATAGTTTTTAGCCGGATTACATATCCGGTCAACCCCCAACAATCCGGTCAACACAATAAACTTAGTCGGACTTCATATCCGGACAACACTATCCCAAAAACATTGATCATAATCAAATCCGGTCAACACTTAAATTAAAACCACTTTATAACTCAAGTCCGGTTAAGAAACTCAGACGACCTTATAGCCGGATTAGAACGTATCCGGACGACACATTAGCCGGATTGATATGTATCCAGACGACTCGTTAACCGGATTGGTATGTACCCGGACGGCTCGTTAACCAGATTGGTACGATTCCGGATGGCACGTTAGCCAGACTAAGACGTTTCCGCAAGGCACATTAGCCGAATAAAAACAAGTCCGGACAACACGTTAGCCAGACAGGGATGGTTTCGGACGACACACTAGCTGGATAAGAACAAGTCCGAAAGGCACGTTAGCCGGACAAGGATTTTCAAAATTGTTCTAACACTCCATCCGGTCAATACTATGACTGGACATACATATAGTCCGATCAACATGCTTTCAGAAACAAAAACATAATTCAAAATACTGAAGATAAGATTCATATGCTTTAAAGTGTTAAAACCACTCAGCTTATGCAACTAGCAAATGCAAATCAACTTAAGATTCCAAATAAGCAAGCAATCCGCACATAATATCTTCTCTCAGGTTTCCAAAATGGCAAGAAGTTTAACTTAGGAGCCTCTCCTCATATTTATACCCTTTACAAAAGTGGAAAGGTGGCTATACTCACATGCATGCAGAATGCATGCATAAAAATATATTCATGACATAAAATACATTCACCTTTTCATGCATGCATCTAATCATATTATGCATATATTATCTATGCATAAAAATACACATACTCAAATGATCAAATATAACAATTTATCATGTATTCACATAATCATATATCAAATAACCACATATTGATTACCTCAGGTGATAACCAAGACCCAGTTATTACAATACTAATATACACTCATATAATGGATAGTAGACGAGGGATCGTGTGATAATAAATGTTAAGGTGAGAAATGTAATAAGATATTTGAATTCTTCATTACTTTATTCCCAAAACAACTCATTCTCACAGAGAATTAACCTATGGATAATGTACTGAAATCATGAAATAATATTTATATCTATACTACCTTATAAACCAACTTTCATAAAAGTCTTAAAAATAATTTTTAATGCATAAAGTACTATTTATTAAAGCATAAAATCTTAAAAATCTTAAAAACATCATTATAAGCTTGATTGTGATAACCGGGTTTTTGGCAACAGCAGTTGAGGTAATCCTTATGTGAATATTATGTGAATATATGAAAATGTGCATATTTATATATAAGATTGATTATATGCATAGGTAAATGCATGGATGATATATGTATGCATGTGTGATATTATGCATACATGAGAATTATTAAAAATATGTGTATGCATATTTATGGGTGATGAGGAGAGGTTTATAATATTAAAACCTCCACCGCCTCTTGTGAGGTTTAAAATAATAAACCTAGACTGCCTTTATAAAATATATATTAGTGGGATAAGATCTATCTTATCCTACTTATCTTGTAGAAAAGAAAAAGGGACAGTGGCGGTGAGTGTGTGTGTTCGTGATTGAAAGTTTCTACAATAAAGTTATTTTAAGAAGATTCTATGTTATTTGAAGTTGTGGTTGTGTGATTCATCTTCAAGTACGTGCATATAAGGTGAGTTTTGTTATTAAAATTCTTATATGTTGATAGTTGAAATATATGGATTTTGGTTGATGATTTTATAGAAGAAAGGAAACTGTTTTGACAGTTGATTTGATTATTAGTAATCTGGGCTTAGAACTCTCATGATAATATAAAGAGGAATCTATTTCTTTCAAAACAGTTGATGCAAGTATTCTATTTTTGAAAGAATAAGTATTTTGATATTGGAAAATTGATTAAAGAACTAATGGTTCTTGAGTTTCAAAGTTCTGATATGAAACTGTTATTAGCTAAAAACTACAGATTTATCTGTAGATTTTGATGAAAAAATAAGGGTGGCATATCAAGGGGAGGTGTACCATGAGGTAAGGGTAACATATCAAGGAGAGGTGTACCATGGGATAAGGGTGGCATATCAAGGAGAGGTGTACATTTGGATACAAGGGTGGCATTTGTTTGTGTGTGGTTATTATCATAGCTCTTGCTGTTATATCCACAATATTGCAATGGTTTTGAGTCAACATGTCTGTGACTTGAAGACTTAGAAATATTGCTCTTATTGAAATAATAGCAATGATTCTATTGAGAAGGGAAAAATGGTTTATAGCTAGAGGTTTTAATTACCTGTGCTTTTGATTAAAAATGTTCTGAGAAGAGTTATGCGGAACCAAAGGGGCTCTGGTTGTCCTTTGAATGGAACCAGAGGGGCTCTGGTTGTCCTTTGAATGGAACCAGAGGGGCTCTGGTTGTTCTTTAACCTAGACCAGTGGAATTTTGGTTGATCTTCAGGGTCAACCATAAGACCTCTGGTTATGATAAAAGTTCTTGATTTTGTTTTCAACCTTTATTTAGAACCAGAGGCTCTCCATGTGCTATGTAGAGGCTCTGTATTTGAAATCAGAAGTTTATGCCAATTATAAACTGTTTTTATACTTTTTTCTCTTATTCAAACTTAGAAACTATAACATGGAAATCCTTTGGCAAAAGAAAACATAGGAGCTCTGGTCAACACTTATGTTTTACCAGAGGACCTCTGGTCGTATGAGGAATTCAAATATTGTTAAGTTGTTTTGATAATTCTTTATCTCTAGATAGACAAACTAGAGGGGCTCTGGTTGGGAAGACCAGAAGCTCTCGTCATTGGACCAGAGGGGCTCTGGCCCTTGCATCTAATAAAAGAGCTGTCACTTAGAGATAGTTCTGGTCTTTAGAACCAGAAGGGCGCTAGTCATTATGAACTCGGGGAGTTATGACCCGTTGAACCAGAGGAGTTTTACACTATATTTTATATGTGATACAAATCTTTGAGATCATGATTCTGTTTATATGAAAAATTGATTTTAAATAAGTTTGGTGATCTTCACCTAGCAATTGCAAAGAAAAAGGGATATCTCACTAGACCTTCTGGTCTAACCCTCATTTTGTATTTTAAAATATGCATTGAATTAACAAGGCTATAGGATAATAAGGGAAAGGGGAAAATGTAATTATTTTTCTTATATGCTTATCTATATGAAGATCAACCTGTGGATGGATGTATTTTTAAGATACATGTTATGATACATCTGAGAGTGCAAGAACTTTATTTTTGAAATTTTGAATTGTGTATTTTGTACATAAGTTTCTTGTACTATGGGACCTAGGTGGTCTAATATATATTTCTTTTTAATGAAGTATATGTTTATATGAAAATTTGTGAGGTGGGGTGTTACATTGATATACAACTAATCAATGCAAACTCTTTATACTGGTGATGGTAATCTTAAGGCTTGTTTCTCGCAGACATTCGCAGTGGCCACCTAAGAGCGTTCGCCTTAGCCAGGCTTGAGAGCTAAAATGCTACTTTGCTCCTTCCTTGGATGCCTGAAATTTGTTTATAAATTTGTTTTGATATTAGGTTCTCGATGATGATTTCATAGAAGACAAATCAACGCATTCAAGTAAGCTTTCATCTTTTTATGCTGACATTCAGCTAAGCTTCTACCTCCAATTTTATTTATGTTGAAGACATTCAGGTAAGCTTTCATCATCGGTCAAATTTCCCTATCCATTTTTAAATTTTTGGTTTTATTTGAATTTAGGTTAGATTGAATTTGGTTTTGAACTGATTAGATGAAGTTGTGGTTTGAATCATGGTAAGATGGCGTCTTTTATTTTAATTTGAATTCAGTTTTTGGTTTGGTTTGATTTTTAACCATCTGTTTCATAAAAATCCACTCACTTTTATTTTATGTTACAAAACTGCATATTGAGCAGGTTTCTCACTTCCATGGTTTGGACCATGTCATCACCTACCATACTGAGCAGGTTTTTCACTTCCATCATCTAAATAAAAATTCCACCAATTTTTTTTGCATGCTTTTTAATGTATTTAAGACTCTTCAGTTTGCATAGTTATATGTTTAAAAAAACTTATTAGTTAACATAGTCAGTTCACATGCACAAGCTTATTGTTTTTATAACAAGTTTAGCTAAGATGGTCTGCTTGTTTTCATCTTAACAGCCTTCAAGCTTTTTGTTCATAAAGACGTGTTGCGTAGAGTCAATAATTTTTAGTTTGGACAATGGTGCTCAAAAGGTACTTTTCGATGGTTGATCTTGAACAATGCTAAAACAACCTTGGATTTTGTGGAATGCAAAAGGGAAGTGTAGACTCCTTGGATGTAGATGTTGGTATGGATGCTTTTCACGTTGGCTATTAAAGTGGAGATTGGAATATGATGTAGTTGATCTAGAGGCGGTGGGGTTTGATTTTTGGTCATTTTGATTAATTAGGATATTTGTTTATATTTTGGTTTGTACAAGATAATTTATTTATTTTTCAAATGTATTCACTAGATATCTGTTTCTTCCTTCATTATAATTACTTGGACAAAAATTGATTTTCATGCTTGTGTAAAAAAAGTTCACCTTGATTTCTTATTTGTTACATTGTACTTGATTACATCTTGTTGTGTCGCATCGGTACTCAACTATAAGAAATCGAGGTTTAAATATTTCTAAGGGTTCTCCTGAAAGATCGGATGTTTAAATATAAATTTTGTACTTTATAATGAATAGTTGCACTCATTTTTAGTTATAGGCTTATTTGAAAATTTTATATCCGGCCGTATTGCACGGGTACACAACTAGTATATATATATACTTCATTTTCATTGTGTGTGAGTTCTGGACTCAAAATGACATGAAATGGGGCCAAAAATCAAATTTCCTATGCTAAATCCCAAGTTAGGTCAGGTTGACCTGGCTAGGTACCCATTTAGACTATAAAGTATTTATAACTTTTTGCTTGGATCTCCGTTTTCTATGAGGTTTTCGCCTACACGTTCATAAAGAGATAATATATAACCTCCAAAAAAATCTTTCAGAAAAAAACTTTCAAAAAATCAGTTTTACATATTAATTTGACATGAAATTTTCCCAAATCCTCTCATATACTCCTAAGAAGTATAATTCTAAAATTACAAACCCAAACTCCCACTAAATCATAGGTTCTCTTATATAGACATTACTAAGACACTAAGTAAAACTTTCCACATTGACATAACATGCTTCACAACTTCTCACATAACATTCTCTTTAACATAATAATTAAACATACTTAGCAAATAATTTGGGCATAATAGAAATTAGATGTTACAAATACCTCCTCTTTTTGAGGATTTCGTCCTTGAAATCATTGTTGTGGAAACAAAGAAGGATATTTGACATTCATCTTATCTTTACGCTCCCACGTCCAATTTGGTCCCCAATGGTGTTTCACTTGACCAACACCAAGTCCTCCTCCTTATTACGTAGATTCGCTTTTCTCTCGCTCATAATTCATTTTGGTTCCTTAATGTATCTTAATTTCTCATATACTTTGACTTCGGTTAAGGAAACCATTTCTTCATGTTTACCCAAGCATTTACGTAAGTACCCGACATGAAACACATCATGTATCCCCATAATTTTCTCCGGTAACTCTAGTCGATAAACATGTTTTCCGATACGCTCCAACACTTTGAACGGGCCAATAAATCGTGGACTTAACTTACCTTGTTTCCGGAATCGAAGCACGCCTTGCTAAGGACAAACTTTCAGCATCACCATATGACCAATCGAGAACTCGATTGGCCTTTTGCGGCGATCCGCATAAGACTTTTGACGATCTTGGGAAACTTTCATTCTTTCACGAATAATTTGAATCTTGTCATGAGTTATCTGAATGAGTTCGAGACCAGCTAAAACTTTCTCTCGGTTCTCTCGCCAACACAAGGGTGTACGACACTTACATCTATAAAACCTCGTAAGAGGCCATTCCAATCGTCGAGTGGTAGCTATTGTTGTAAGAAAACTCAACCAAGGGTAGGTGAGTATCCCAACTACCACCAAATTCTAAGACACATGCGCGCATCATATCCTCGAGGGTCTGAATGGTTCATTCTGATTGACCATCGGTCTGAGGATGATAGGCCGTACTAAACGCATGACGTGTTCCCAACTCTCGTTGAAATCCAACCCAAAAATTAGAAGTGAATTGATAATCGAGATCAAAGATAATCTTCACTGGTACACCGTGTTGCGAGACAACTTCATCAATGTACAATTGCACCCATCAATCCATAGAAGAAGACTCTCGAATAGGTAAGAACAATGCAGATTTGGTCAACCAGTCAACTATAACCCAAATACTGTCGTGTTGCCATTGGGTCTTCAATAGTTTAGTAACCATATCTATCGTTAATTCCTCCCATTTCCACATCGGTACCTCAAGAGGCTGTAAACTACCATACGGTTTTTGGTGTTCAGCCTTTACTTGTAAGCATGTGTTACACGTCTTGACATAACGTACAATATCAGTCTTCATCCCAGCCCACCAGTAATCCAAATGAAGATCTTGGTACATTTTTGTATTCCCCTGGTGTATCGGTAATCGTGACTTATGTGCTTCCGCTAAAACAACATCTCGTATACCGCCATGTCTGGGGACCCAGGTTCGGGTCTTAAAGACTTTCAAGCCACGTCCATCTTTAGAAACAGAATCAATGTATCCCATCATTCGTTCTGCTTTGACATTGTCAGGCTTCAAAGTCTCAATCTGCTACTTCCAAATATCATCGAATAAATTATATTTAATCGACATGTGAGTGATAGCGTAGCATAGAAGTCCTTAATACGTCTTCCTACTCATAGCATCTGCCATTACATTGTCTTTAGGATGATATAGTATCTTACAATCGTAATCTTTGATGAGTTCCATAGCACGTTGTTGATGCATGTTCAAGGTCTGTTGATCAAATAGATACTTTAAGCTCTTGTGGTCAGAATAAAGTTGACACTTCGTACCATAGAGATAGTGTCGCTAAAGTTTCAAAGACCACCACTGCTAATTCAAAATCATGAGTAGGGTAGTTCTTCTCATATTCTTTCAATTGGCGAGAAACATATGCAATCACCTTTCCTCGCTACATCAAGACACATCCAAGGCCAAGTCGAGATGCGTCACTATACACTATAAAGTCTTCATTACCCTCAGGTAGAGAAAGTATAGGCACGTGTGTAAGGCATTCCTTTAAAGTTTGAAATGCTCGATCTTGGGCCTCATTCCATTCAAATATAGCATATTTACGAGTCAAAGAGGTTAATGGTACTGCGATTTTATAGAAGTCCTTGATAAATCGTCGATAGTACCCTGCCAGACCCAAAACGCTCCCAACTTTTGAAGCATTCTTTGGTTGCTTCCACTCTTGAATTGCTTCGATCTTGGACGGGTCTACAGAATACCATCTACGGATACGGTATACTCCAAGAATTGTACCTGGCAAAGCCAGAATTCACATTTCAAGAATTTTGCATTGAGTCGTTCTTTTCTCAACAATTCTAGCATTTGATGTAAGCATGTAGCGTGTTCATTTTTGGAATTTCAGTAAACCATAATATCATCGATGAATACGATCACAGACTTGTCGAGCATAGGATAACATACTCGATCCATTAATTCTATAAACGCTACAAGTGCATTTGTAAGTCCGAATGGCATTGTGAGGAATTCGTAATGCCCATAACGTGTCCGAAAGACAGCTTTGGGTACGTCTTCCTCCTGTACCTTGAGTTGGTGATAGCCAAACCGCAAGTCGATTTAGAAAAGTGTCTCACACCTTGTAACTGATCAAAAAGATCATCAATTCGCGGTAATGGATACTTGTTCTTTATAATTACCTTGTTAAGCTCATGATAATCTATATACATCCAGAAAGTTCATTCTTTCTTCTTAACGAACAGGACTGGAGCACCCCAAGGAGATGTGCTTGGTCGAATAAAACCCTTGTCCAATAATGCTGCAATTGTTTCATCATTTCTTTCATTTTCTTGGGTGCGAGACGATACGGTGTCTTCACTATCGGAGTTGCACCTGGTATCAAGTCTATACGAAATTCTACTTGACGATCGGGTGGCAATCCAGGAAGATCATCCGGAAATACATCCGAATATTCATAAGCAATCGGAATGTCCTTCACCGTCTTTTTTAATTCCTTTACCGCATGCATAACTGTTGGTCCCGTTAGGGTCTACAAGATGTGTAGAAATAGTTTGTAGAAGGGGGGGATGAATACAAACAAGTGAACTTTTCAAGTTTAAAATATATATTTCTAAAGAAGGATCAATACAGATTTTACAAGATTGTTTGCGGAAAAGATAAGGTAAAGATAACATATCTAAACAATCTAAGTTACACACAAATGTTCTTAGCAAAGAGAAATGATTTGCTGTTTAAGACTAAGAAGAAAGTAAGCTCTTTCTGGGTAAGAACTATTTAGAATACTTAAAAAGGGATTCCAACTTGCTTTTGAAGATAAGCGTATTGTGTTCTTAGATGTGTGTTCTTTTA